GGCCGCTCCCGACGTGCGGGCTTTGAAATGAGTCAGTTTTGCTTGGGATAATTATTGGCAAGCGAGGAGCCGACGTGTTCCTTCCCGAGAATAAACTGCTCGCAGATCGATGAACACTCCGCACACCCGGAGCCCTGGGGTAACGATAGCTTCATCCTTCGGTTTCCACGTCTGCTTCCTTCAAAAATGAAAACTTCACCTGTAATCACTGGCACATCGCACCAAGACAAAGACAGTGTGAGGCTGTTTCTTCTAAATGGCAAACATTTTAGCTCATTACACAGCTGTAAATACTGAGGGGAAAGCCAAGAGTCTGGGGTCTGTTTTGTGGCAGGTTTTGTTTGTTAATTTTTTCCAAGTTACAAAGTCGTCCTGTTCTTTTAGCTTAAAACTGAGCAGCTCAACACGGGTGTCTCTAAACGCATCTGTGTTCTGTTTTCCTTGCAGGAACCCATCTGCTCTTGCTGTGCAGGATGGTAGTGTAGTGTCTTCTGCAGGATGAAGGCGACAGGCGGAGGCAGGTGCTGGTGGCTGGGGACCCTCCTCGCTGCCTGCCTGGCTACTCTCCCGGGAAGCACTGCTTGTCCCAGGCTCTGCGCCTGCTATGTCCCCACCGAGGTGCACTGCACGTTCCGGTACTTCACCGCTGTCCCACCGCACATCCCTCCAAATGTGGAGCGCATCAATCTGGGGTATGTTTAACATCAAAATTCTACATGTACAGACCAGTTACCATTCAACACTTTGCAAAGCAATAATTAATAGTTTCTAGATTTAGGGCTAAAAATGAATAAATCTTAGGAGCTCAGTGCTCTGCCCTATTCAAAAGTGGTTATAATCACAGCTAGTAAAGCCTAAGACCACCAACACTAAGTGGAAATTTGGGGATGTATCACAGAGCATGTCAGAACTTCAGAAAGTTTTGAACTTCAATGAATTCTCTTATATTACCCAAACATTTTGCATGTGCAACATGGAACTCAGCAGTCTGAAACAGAAATAATTCTTTCTGGGAAAAGATAGTTCAGAGCTCAAGCAGTGGGCTGAAAAACTAGTATGTGAGTTAAAATCTTCAGAGACTTTGCTATGACTTCAGAATGTTACATGATGCTGGTACCTGTGCTTTTATCCATTGACTTTATGGGAAATAACACTTGTCTGAATATTTCAGCCTCCAAAGTGGTTCTGTTCTGTCAGTGGTTAAAAGGAACAGGGAACAAATTCTGTATGGGCTCACTGGCCTGTTAACAGGGTTTCCAGCAAGTGCCCTCTGTCATACAATCAAGTTATGAAATTAATCAGCAATATTTGACTGATCTTTGCATCACTTTTGATATGTATAACCTCTGTATCATCCAATAGGTGTATGCAGAAAATGTAGAAGGAAGTTTTTTTGGAGTCTTCCCCTTCATCCGCTTTATGCTTTCAGGCAACATAGCCAGATCCCAGCTCCTGACTCCTCTCTGCTTTTTTCTTCCATTGATTTTGTCAGTGTTGTCCAGAAGTGCTGTATATGAAATCTTACGATTAAGTACTTTTAGAGGGTCGTGGGTTACCTTAGGAGAAGGACATGCGACCAAAGTACATTAATTACTATTATAGAAAGGCCATCTATCTGACTGATGATTTAATCTAACTTGCTGTCACCACAGGGCATAGGAGGCGTAACTGGATCATGAGAAGAGTCCCTGTGTTAGCTAATCAGGTCATGCAAGGGGATAGTAGTCACGAACTCAAAGGCATCGCAGAGTAGGTACTCAGCATTTGCGAGGCTTACACACCTCATACTAATGCCAGGACAGCATAGCATCACCACAGCCAGTACTCAGGCTGGCTAGACTTAGATACAACCAATGGTCGAACTTCCCATAGCAGTGCAGCTCTCACTTGAAGGGCGCTCTGTTTCGTTTTTGGTTACCTGTTTAAATCCAGCCTAGTCTATACATACGATATGTATACTCATGGAAAATAGGGGAGGCTGGGGCTACGCCTGCATTATAACAGGTTGTGGGCACCACTGAGTACCTGCAGAATGCAAATAAACCTCAAGATGTACAACTGGAAAGGGCAGACAGCATAGTGCAGCCAATGCAGGGAGGGACTGCCAAGCACTCTGCAGAACCCACCTGCTCACAGCTCTTCTGCATTGAAGCCCAGACCTGGCATTCTTGTCTGCACCTCTCTGCAGTTGTTTTCCCTGTCCACTGTGAATACAGTCTTCAGAAAGCTACCCTGGAAAAGTTTCCAAATTTTGTGCTAACATGAAGGAATGACTTATAATTTCATTTTGACAGTCAGAAGTGCTGTGTACCTTTATGCATTTCCAAAGAGTTGTTCTTTTATTTTGGATTTATTTGTTTATTTGAAACTTCTGAAATTTATGTCTGACTAAACCCAGGTCTGGGATGAAATGTTTGTTACAGATACAACAGCTTGCTCAGACTGACAGAAACAGATTTTTCTGGCCTGGAGAAACTGGAGTTACTGATGTTGCACAGCAACGAGATAAATACAATCCCTGATAAGGTGTTCAATGATTTATATTCATTACAGGTAAGAACTAAATGATCTAATCTTAATTAGGAGATGACCTAATCTTAATTTTTGTTCTGACTTAAACAATCTGCAGTAATACTGATAAATGGAAGCAGACCAATGGTATGTAGCGTTTTGGTTTCCTGTTTCTTAATGTATCCACGTGAAAGATGAGGGAAATGCCTTTCCTTCCCAGGAGGGCATCCGAGTACAGTTTAAAGAGTGTGGCAAACATATCGGTTGGTACCTGTATCTTAATGGGCAACTGCAGTTTAAACTCTTGTTCACACAAGGGAGAAAGATTGCAGAACTCCAAGTACTGCATCTGTGGTAGGAAACTTGTCTTTAGTTAATCTGTTAGTCAATTTTTATCTTTTTTTGAGGATTTTTTGCCATCCAGATTTCCCTTTCCCTTCAGTACACTATAGGCCTGTCGCTTTCTATCCTACATTAAAAATTGGCTCCCACTGAACAGAAACTGAACATATTACAAATAAACATTTTAATCCTTTAAAAACCCATTGGGTTTATAATTTAATATGTATTTGTGGACTTTTAAAATGTAGTATTTGATGGCTGTTTTATTCTTAACTGAAATATTTCCTATTTATAAAATATTACCTATATTTACATGTATTGTAAAAATTAGTAAATGTATGGTGTCATACAGGGATTCTAGAGCTATCTCAGTATGTGCCATGTAGATATTCGTATATAAAGAATTACTTAGATGATTATTTAGAAGCAACCATTCCCAACTAATTCAACATATAGGTAACACTTATTCTCCAGTTAAACTTCCATCTAGAGCTGTTGTTTAACTGCTACAGAGAAGTAACAATGTGATGAACTATGAACACAGGAGACCTGAACTGTTCAGACAGAAAACTTGGGATTTTCTTAGTTGGTTGTTATAGGATTAGGGGGTGAGAGTGTGAGGGAAAGGTAGAAACCAGAGAAGCTGTGAAGCATACAGATCTCCAGGTTGCATTAGCACTCACAAAGGGTAGCTCTGTGCCTGAAAGCTTGCTTTCACAACTGACTTAATAAAATAAGCTTTACGGAGTTCAACAAGCTTTTCTTCCCCTATCAACAAGGAAGATGGCAGCACAATTACAAATAGAATCATAGAACCATTTTATCATAGATATTTCTAATGGAATTATATTGGGCAAGAAAACTTGACCATTTTTGTGATTTTGTACTTTTCTTCCCTCATTAATTTTCAAAATACAGAATTCGGACTGCAATGGTAGAATTCTAACAGGAAAAGTAATAACAAAAAGTGTGTCATGGGCACCCTATTTTGTCCCTCAGCAACATGCCAGGTTTGTTCATCTCAGAGTTACGAATTTGACTTTTAACCAGTCAGAAACAACATGGCACCTGAGAGTTGGGGTTGGGAAAGCACACACCTCAGGTGACACAAATCCTGAAACTGGAGGCACACTATGTAGGTTCTGTTGGTTAAGCAGCAATCAAAATAGATTGTTGTGTGTGTTTGTATAGTCATTACACTGGCTGGAACAAAAATCACTACCACAGTTTATGGTCAAATTCTGCTTCCCCTTTTCATAAGTGCAGCTTAATTGGGATTATTTTTTTTTTTTTTTTAACAAACAAGAAATAAGCATGGTTTTCTTTTATTTTTTAATCACTGCATTTTGCAAATGTTACCGCAGAAGGGTCACCCTGATGGAACAAGAAGCATCCTTGTAGTCCTGCAACTAACAATGTATTTAAAAATTATTCCTCCTACTAAGTTTTTTGCAATAATTTCCATTACTGGTCTGGTGAAGTACTTCACAGGGTAAACATCAATCAGAATTTGTTAGGAGTCTTAACAATCTAACATGGGTTAATATTATACACTTGTTACTTTTTCATCAACAGGTCTTAAAAATGAGTTATAACAAGGTCAGAGTTCTTCAGCAGAAAAAAAATTTTTATGGCCTAAAGAGCTTGGTACGGTTGCATATGGACCACAATAAAATTGAGTTTGTAAATCCCAATGTTTTCAACGGACTCACATCACTGAGGTTGGTCCATTTGGAAGGAAATCTACTTAAGCAGCTTCATCCACATACTTTTGTAACCTTGCACTATAGCCAAATATTCAAAATATCCTTCATGAAGCACATATATTTGTCTGACAACTTGTTGACTTCACTGCCACAAGAAATGTTTTCCTACATGTCCGAGCTAGAGAGCATTTACCTCCATGGAAACCCATGGTCCTGTGATTGCAAACTCCAGTGGTTTGCAAAATGGGAAAAAGCAAGATCAGGTGAGCTGAAAGCTTTGTTTATGCTTTTAATCATGTTATAGCATCTTGCTCTTTCTGATAAATGTAACTGTCCTTTATTCATTTGTTTATTCTCCCAGAAAAGACTGGAAGACAGGAATTTTTTAAGTGCATGTAATCAGGATAAACAGATTAATACCATTCAGTTTCCCAGATTAAATGAATCTAGTGGTCTTAACCCATTCCCACGTGTGGCTTAATGAAATACTTTCTGTGGCCAGTCTAAAGCTTTTGTGCCCAGGAGATTCCACAGGGAATAAGGAAGCTAATTTTTATGTAATTGGTAAGAACGAAGTACTTGATTCTTCCAAACAGAAATAAGGAATGGGTCTCAAGAATTTTCTCATTTGCTGCTCTGAGCAGAGGTTGCATATGATAGCATAGTGTCACACTCACCCTGCCAGAGCCTGTGTCACTCAGAACCAACCTACAGCCATGTACCCCAGCAGAGCCTGCCTTGCACCATGTAGAACCAGTGGGACAGAAGGATGCTGTATGGAGCCGCAATAGCAATAGTCCTTAGGCAGTTTCACCAGAGAAAATTCATAGGTTTTCTTAGGTTACTTTAAGGTTAACTTTGTTAATATTCAAGAGAACAACCTGCTGGTAGTTAAACGTCTTTTTAACACTATAAATCATATTACAAGAGCTTACTGCATTTTTCTTCCCTTCAGATGTTGTAAAGTGCAAAAAAGACAGACGTTCTGGTGTTCAGCAATGCCCAGTTTGTGCTAATCCCAAAAATCATGAAGGGAAAAGCTTAGTGGATATTCCTTCTGCATCTTTAACCTGCACTAAGCCAGCCATACATGACTCCCTGAAATTTAAAAACCTCACAGTACCAGATGATGGGGATTTCAATTCCGTACCTCCCAAGGACTTCATAGCTCCTATAGGATCCATGGTTTTGAACATGACTGACCAAGCAGGAAGCCGAGGTAACTTGGTTTGCAACATCCAAAAACCTAAAGAAATGTCTCCCATCTCATTTGACAAAAATGGCAACAGTACAGTGCTCAAAACAGCATTCTCAGCATTTCTGGTATGTGGCATTGATTATGAGCATATTCAGCAGCTGTGGAGCATACTGGCACTGTATAGTAATTCTCCCTTAAAACTGGAAAGGAGTGCCCTAGCAACTAATATGCCTTTTATTAGCTACAAATATAAACAAATCTACTCTGAAAAAGATGAACTTTTTACCAATATAGAGACTGAACTGAGAGCTGAACCACCTTGGTTAATGCAAAGCAAAGTGGCATTACAGCTAGACAGGACAGCAACCACACTTAACACCTTGCACATCCAGTACTTTACGGACGCTCAGATTATTTTGCCCAGTGCTGGCAAAAGGGGAGTAAGAAATAACTGGGCCATCATCTCCAGGGACAACAGAACACAAACAGAGCACACTGTTTTAGTCGGGGGGACCGTAGAACTAGAGTGCCAAGCAATCGGAGAACCAGCTCCTGCAGTAGAGTGGATATTGGCTGATGGGAGCAAAGTTAGAGCTCCTTATATCAGTGAGGATGGGAGAATCATAGTAGTTAAAACTGGAACATTCACATTACAGACAGCTGATACTTTTGACACTGGGCTTTATCACTGCATAGGCACAAATTACAATGATGCAGATACTCTCACATTTAGAATTACTGTGGTCGATCCTTACATGGAACACAGCAATGTAAATGGAGCCCAACTTTCTACATTTGTTGGGAGCACACTCTACCTTCCCTGTACGTCCACTGCTGTTCCAGATGCTTCCATTAGTTGGGTGTTACCTGAGCATGCGATTCTTCATCATTCTGTAAGAAACAAACATATTTTTGACAATGGTACCTTAAGAATACAAGGGGTAACAGAGCAAGACAGTGGGTACTTTCGATGTGTTGCAGCCAACCAGTACGGTGTTGATCTTTTGGTTTTCCAAGTGCTAGTTAGAAAAGACAAAATTGCTCTGAAGAAAAAGCAGGTAGCTGTGGGAGAATGGGAAGAGGGTGATGGCTCTGGCAATGCAATGCTGGCCTCTGCTACAACAGAGAAACATCCTCTAGCTACTCTAGCTACCTTGACAGCTAATCAGGAATCTGCTGCCTCAGCATTCAGCAATCAGGTTGCAGAGACTGCACGTAAAAGGAACGGCTACAGGAACATGACTTTCAGGCACTACAGGAACAAAATAAGTGGGCGGCTTAGAGGACACAGAAGACAGTTTGTTTCCTCAGCCAGGAGAGTTGACCCACAGCGCTGGGCAGCCTTGTTGGAAAAAACAAAGAGGAACTCAACATTAATAGGAAAACGAGGAGAAGTTGCAACAAATCCACTTATTCAAGTCCGTAAGTTCTCAGAGTTACCTGGGAATGAGGAGGAAACATCTGGTGATCTTGTATCTCTAGAAGAAGAATTCATGATACCAGTAACAGAGACAACTCCAGTATCTACTCTGGGGAGAGCAACGGAAAGCATGATAACTGCAGGGCCTGAGATGACCATGAGTAAAACTCCTGCTAGGAAAACCTCTCTCCTTGTTTCAGAGGCAGTAACTCCTCTCCCCTCTCCATTTTCACAGTCTGTGTCATGTGACAGCAGAAAGCCACAAAAATATCTAAACCCTACAATTACAAACTCATGGGAAAGATCTGATTTAAGTCTAACATCAGCAAGTGGTGTAAAACAATCAACTGTATCAAATGGAGCAAGTAGAACATCTGCAGTCATCCCTGCTGGGCAAAAGTTGGTATATCCTGGGGAAAGTAATAACCAGCTTTTAAAATCTGTGTCTATGACACCCATGACAGATGTTATAGACACCAGCAAGTCTGTAACTTCCCAAAATGCAGCGGACAGGCTACATGCTTTTACAGAGTCTATTGATAAGATTTCCAAAAAAACAGATCACCAAATACCTATGGTGACAGTCAGTGAACCAAGTCCTGAATTTGGTCACATTTATTTTCATAGTACTCAGAAACTAGTAACTCCTGAGCCACTGTTGGCCTCAACTATCATTACTCATCAGCAAATTCAGATTATTCAGAACATTACAACTCGTACACCCCAGCCACAGCGGCAATATGGAAGACGAAGGAAAATTTCTGGTAGGAGACGAATTGTTAGACCAGGACATATTCCAAGTATGAAAGAGCATAGATACAATACGGGGAGGCCAGGATCTGTCAGAGGAAGTACAGCTGTGGCTGCAGATGTGCAACTGAATATGGAACATATATCAAATTTACTAACCTTAAATAATTTAAGCAGCTCCATCCACCCATTTAGCCCAGAAGCACCTCTGTCCTCCCCCTTGATCACAAATATGCCATTGGAGCACTCAGCAGGTATTCATCAAAATACAGTGTTCCTCAGGAAAGAGGAAAATGAAGCTAGTGAAAGGCAGAAAGCTACTATTACAGTCAAGCCTTTCATTATGAAGGACACCCCAGATACTCCAGAATGGAAATTACAGAGCAGTAATCCATTTCAGACAAGGACTGATAGAGTCCAACCTTTTAGCATCAAACTACCAGCAACAGCAATCCACACAGCTCATGTTGCTACAGATATTACATACACTGTAAGCACTAAGGTATCTTCAACCCTTGAATCAGTCTCACCCAGCATTAAACCTAGAGCCTCACCAAAAAATTCCCAAAGAGGAAAAATTACTTGGGAACTTCTCTTTGAAAATAGTGCACAAAAAGAGGCTCTGAAGAAGCTACCAAAACAACAGACAGATAAGTTTCTATCAACAGAGGTATCGACCATTCATCCTAAAACTACAACATCATCTGTGTTCAAAATGTCTCCTCTGCACTTTATACCTATTTCAAAAAGTGAGAATCACAGCAATGGTTTCTTTTCTTTAAACAAACCCATTCATTATGGCAATGCTAAGCCAAAAGAACATCTTCACACTGCAAAACTGCATTCTTCCTCTAATCCTGCAACTAGTGCCACCAAAGAAATGGATGTAACTCATTTGAAGCCAACAGTTAGACCTATTATTGCCCCTCAGACTGGCACCAAAATCACCAGAAGTAAAACATACAGAATAGGAAAACAGAGAGATCAGAGGAGGAAGAGGCCACTAACAACATCTACTTCACAAAGCATGACTGCAGGCCACAGCACTGTAGTGATTCTGCCCATGAATACAGCCATGCCTGTTGTGACAACAGTTAAATCATCGACTATGCCTACAAGCCTTACACCTGCAAAACCTCTCTCTGAGAGTGTGAGTGCAGTCTCAGTGGCAGAACTGCCAACACGGTGGATCCTTAAAACACTGGAGGCTCCTCAGCTCATGCCTGGAGCAGCCATGCAGCCACTGGCGATCCCTGTCACATGGAGGAACAGCCAGTCAGCCACGCTACCACAGAGCCCCACTGCGCCAATGCAGACAATACCATGGCATTCAAAGCCTTTCGGCACCCCAAGCATGCGACCTGCCACAGCCTGGGTGGCAGCTGGGTCAGAACCAACTCAGCAAAGCGAAGCCACCACAACAGCAGGTGAACAATCATGGCCCAAAATAGAAAAGAGTGTTACCCAAGAAAACCATGTAATACAGGCCACATTCCCAGCAAGAACCGTGTCAAGTGTTCCTGCTGCAAGCACAGACATCACTCCTGCCAGCACCCAGCATCCCACCCCACCTCCAGCCCTCACAGCAATTGTGCCTGCTGCACATACTGAGAGAACCAACTCACCTCCGTGGGGGGAAATCAAATTCTGGCAGAAGCCATCTGCTAAAGTCACAGAGAGAGGCAACACGATGGCTGTCAACACACTGACCATGCTGAAGTCATCACGGATCATGACTCCACATGTGCCTCTGTGGGTAGGTGACAAGGACAGTTCTGTCAAAGGCTGGTCTGAAAAGAGGCAAGATCAAGAAACTACCACCCCTATTCCTATAGCCTCCGACTCTCTGAGCAGAAACAATTTTGCAAAACCCAGAATAAGTGGAGGAAAATTAGCTGCTTTTACTGTACTAGCTAATTCAGATGCTTTTATTCCTTGTGAAGCTATTGGTAACCCCCATCCAACAATACAGTGGACCAAGATATCAACAGGTAAGCTTGATAAACCTCTCTAGAATTTACCTTCCATTACGGTCGTGTAATTTGGCAGATGGTTTATGTGCAAAACTCAAGTATTTTATCATTTAATAGTACTGTGAAATATCAGTGAAAAGATGAACTTGGAGACAGTGACAAAGACAGATAGCCCCAGACAATTTCTGGAGTGTCTTACTAATAATGATGAAGTAGTTATTTAGGGAAATTAATATATATATATATTTAACTATAATTCCATGCTTATTGTGAGAAGATTTCAGTATTTATTGTATGTTACCGGCTATTTCAGAACAGTAAGACAAGTGAAAAGAAAAATCTGTCTGTGGTAACAAACCATGAAATCAAGCTAAAGCTATGTCAAAATATTTTTGAATATGCAAAGCCTAGTCACAACTATGCCAAAGTATGTTTGGATGTGCAAAGCCCCATCTGCTTTATCCAAACTTTGTCTCTACTGAGGACCAAGTTTGGTTTTTTACTTTAAAGCTTTGTCACTGTTTATGCAAAATATGATTATTTCTCTCTTTCTTATCACTATTGCCTTGGTTATTTGGGCAAAGTAGACCAGCGTAGGGAACGCATTTTCAGGGACTGAGTAAAAAGAAACAGGAGAGATTCTGACATGCTGTGCTGCTGTCCCCTTGCTTCTGTAGGCACTGATGCTCCAGAAAACCAAGGCAACAACAGATGGATGGTGTTTGCCAATGGCACACTCTCTATCACCCAGGTGGGCCTGGAGGACCGCGGGCAGTACCTGTGCATTGCAGCCAACCCACATGGTGCGGCACGGCTCCTGGTCACCTTGTCAGTAGTAGCCTATCCGCCCCGCATCACCGGCAGCAGGTGGCAGCTCCTCACCGCTCACTCCGGAAAGCCCATGGCAGTGAAGTGCAAAGCTGAGGGCAGGCCTCCTCCCACTGTCTCGTGGGTTCTAGCAAATAAAACACACATCTCTGACTCCTTGGCAGGAAATAACAAAGTTCACATGGAAACAGATGGCACTTTAATTATCAAGGAAGTCACTGTTTATGACAGGGGCCTCTATACATGCATGGCTAAAAACCCAGCAGGCACTGACAAGCTGGTTGTAAAACTGCAGGTCATTGCAGCACCTCCTGCTATTCTGGAAGAGAAGAGAGAACATGTGAAAGTAATGATGGGGGAAAATCTGAAACTCCCTTGCACTGTGGAAGGGAATCCTCAGCCCGCTGTCCACTGGGTCCTCTCTGATGGCACAGTGGTGAAACCCCTGCAGCTGGTAAATGCAAAGCTCTTCCTGTTCTCCAATGGGACCCTCCACCTCAGCAGTATCATCTCTTCTGACAGTGGGAATTACGAGTGCATAGCCACAAGCTCAACTGGCTCGGAAAGGAGAGTGGTGACCCTCATGGTGCAACACAGAGATACACTTCCAAAAATAGCTACTGCCTCTGAAGAAATGACTCGCTTGAATTTTGGGGATAAGTTGCTTCTGAACTGCACAGCAACTGGGGAGCCAAAGCCCAGGATCATCTGGAGGTTACCTTCCAAGGCAGTTGTTGACCAGTGGCACAGGTAGGAGTCTTTTAGTTTCCCCACCTCTTGGAAACTTCATACAGTCTCTTCTCTGGTGCTCATTTAAGAGATTGTTACATGACTGAAACAATACATTGGGAACTAAATTCACTTTTAAATGTTTAACAGTGGTGAAACATCTGTGATGATGGCTTATTATTACAATTACACATTATTATATTACATTATTATACATTATACTATATTACATTATCATATTACACGTAACAGATCAGTTGTCATAAGTGGGTGAGGTCAAAATGGATACAAGTCATATTTGAATTAAGGAAACTGATGTTAGTCATGTATTGGCTGAATTCTGTTATTTATAAGAGGTTTGTGAAGTGGGACTCAGGAGGAAAAGGCTTCTATAGTTGACTCCGCAAAGTCAACCTTAGAGCAGCTCTCCCCATGCCCCCTCCTACATTAACACTGGACTTTTACTTTGAGAGTGACAGTCCCAGATTAGGATGCTCCTTGCAGGCTCACCAGAATTTGCAGCTGGGCTGAGGAGGGAGGTCCAGGTCTATCCCCCACTGCAGGGGACGCAGCCAGAAAGCCATCAACCAGTGCCAAGTGTCGTTCTGGGCAAGATACAGTAGCACTGCCAGCTGCCCTGCCTGGGCCAAGTATTGTGTGTTGTCTGCAGGGAGAAGCGTGAGGGAGAGGAGGAGAGGCTGGTGGGATCAGGGACGTGAGATTCAACAGGCTCATTTGTTCACAGAACAGCTTTTCAGCAAGGCAGAGGTGGCATCGTGCAGCTTTGCACACCTACATATGGTCAGCAAGCACACACACATCAACACAGCAACAACAGTGGCAACTGCCTCAGGTTAAAACCCACCAGGTAGGTGGTGATGGGGACACAGTGCTTTTGGAGAGAACACCGGTATCGTGTTGTGCTGTTAATACTGTCAGTGCTCAGTATTCACTTGCAGCATTTTGTTCCATAATTCTTTTCCTCTTTCTGTCCCCCCAACAGAATGGGAAGTCGAATCCACGTTCACCCCAATGGATCCTTGGTTATTGAGGCAGTTACTGAAAAGGATGCAGGTGACTATTTGTGTGTTGCAAGAAACAAAATTGGAGATGATCTGATATTGATGAAAGTCAGCATCACAATGAAACCAGCCAAGATTGACCAGAAACAGTATTTCAAGCAACTTGTGCCATATGGAAAAGATTTCAGAGTGGACTGCAAGGCCTCTGGGTCACCCACACCAGAAATATCCTGGAGTTTGCCAGATGGGACAGTGATCAATAACGCAATGCTGGCAGATGATAGTGGACACAGGTCTCACAGGTACATCCTCTTTGACAACGGAACACTGTATCTCAACAAAGTTGGAGTAACAGAAGGAGGAAACTATACCTGCTATGCTCAAAACACCCTGGGGAGAGATGAAATGAAGATACACATAGTGGTCATCATGGCAGCCCCTCAGATAAAACACAGTTACAAGACATACCTTAAAGTGAAAGCTGGAGATACAGCATTACTGGACTGTGAAGCAGCTGGGGAACCCAAGCCCAAAATATTCTGGTTGCTACCTTCCAGTGATATGATCTCCTCATCAACAGACAGACATTTCCTGCATGCCAACGGTTCTCTGTCAGTCAGTCAAGTCAAACTGTTAGATGCTGGGGAGTACATGTGTGTGGCTCGTAACCCTGGAGGGGATGATACGAAATTATGTAAACTGGATGTTGTTGCAAAACCACCTGTCATAAACGGTTTATATGCAAACAAAACAATCATGAAGGTGACAGCAGTGAGGCATTCAAAGAAACAAATTGATTGTAGGGCAGAAGGGACACCTCCCCCTCAGATTATGTGGATCATGCCTGATAATATTTTCCTAACAGCTCCATATTATGGAAGCAGGATTGTAGTATACAAAAATGGAACACTTGAAATTCGGAACATAAGGCCTTCTGACACAGCAGATTTTATCTGCGTGGCACGTAATGATGGGGGGGAGAGTATGCTGGTGGTGCAGCTGGAGGTACTGGAAATGCTAAGGCGACCAATGTTTAAAAATCCATTCAATGAAAAAATAATAGCAAAACCTGGGAAAACTATCACATTGAATTGTTCTGTGGATGGAAACCCTCCACCTGACATAAGCTGGATGTTACCTAATGGCACATGGTTTTCCAGTGGCATCAAGACTTCCCAAGTTCTCACAGGAAGCAACGGTATCCTTACCATCTATAGTCCTGATGGAGACAAAGCAGGAAAGTACCGCTGTGCTGCCAGGAATAAAGTTGGCTACATTGAAAAGCTGATCATCCTGGAGGTTGGCCAGAAGCCGAATATTCTCACTCACCCCACAAGGTCAGTGACAGGTGTTAGTGGGGAGTCATTGTTGCTTCACTGCCTGTCCGATGGGAATCCTAAACCAACTACATCATGGACTCTGCCAGGTGGCCATGTGCTGGATCGACCACAGATCAACAGGAAGTACATACTGCTGGAAAACGGCACATTGGTTATACGAAAAGCCACCATTCATGACAGAGGAAATTACGTGTGCAAGGCCCACAATAATGCTGGAGATTCCTCTGTAACCATTTCTGTCATTGTTGTAGCATATCCCCCAAGGATTATGAACAGGCCACCACAGACCATACACACAATGCCTGGTGCAGCCGTGCAGCTCCACTGCGCAGCACTGGGAATACCCAAACCAGAAATTACCTGGGAATTACCTGACCACTCAGTACTCACTACAGGTCACCAAGGTCAAGCATCAGGGAACAGAGTGCTTCGTCCTCTGGGGACGTTACTCATCCAGAGTCCCCAACCTTCAGATTCTGGCACATACAAGTGCACAGCAAAGAACCATCTTGGCAGTGATTTCACAGTAACGTATGTCCACATCCTCTGAGGTAAGAAATACTGCATGAATGATGTGTTCATTCATGCAGTGAATGAACTGTCAACACAGTCAACTACAGCTGGACTGAGTTCATTCCTGGAATAAGTCTAATCGAAGGCAGCCATAGGCATGCAAGTGCCTAAAAACATGTACAGGATTCAGTCTGCAATGACCGTGCAAAAAAAATAGAGGAAGGACTTGAGGAAAGTGAGGTCTAGCAGCATTACTGAGAATTGGTTCTTTAAATTAAAACAGACTTAAGGCATTTTACTCTGCCACCAAACACTGAGTATCAAATAGTTACTTTCTGGAAATATAACTAGAGATCTTCAGTAAAGGACAGACTTTTTCATATTAGTTTCATATTGTCCACCTTGTATGACTGTCAGGAGCATGGCTGACATAAAGCAAGAGTATCTGAGAACAAAAAAGCTGATTTTTATTGTGATACAGATTACTTTCTTCATGTGTTTGAGTATTTAGTATTTTTTTAATAAACTATCAATGGTGAAAAGAGTAGTAAAGTATTTTTAATAATACAGCTTTGTTTCATATGTTTTTTTTTCCGAACTTTGGAATGATACATCCAGAACAACTTCATTCTTATTTTTAAACAAGAGAGTATGCTCTGTTTAGCACTGTTTAGGAGAAGTATATGGACCATGTTTAGAAACACTCTCGCTTGGTATCATTTTCCTATTGTCACAAAAGCATTTTTTAAAGATTTCTCACTAAAAACCAGTTGCATCAATTTGCGTATCAATTTAGAATCCTGATTTCTCAATTCAGTAGATAAGTCTAAGAAGCAACTTTCTGTACATATATGGAAAACACCTTCACAGTGATAGGAAATGGCTACCTATATGTTGTACACTAATGAATCACTGACTGATCTGTTCAAATAAATATTTAGACAATTAAGCCAGTAACTAAATCTCACAGGTTTTTGTTTTCTTCCTGAGAGACAGATTAATGTCAGGGCAGAGGGGTCAAAATACATGCAATTTGGCATTTCCCCTTAAATTTGCAAATTTAAAATTAAAAAAACCCGTGCATCCCATGGAAGCATTGCCACTGTCCCTACAGTCTCAGCTAGTCCCACAGTAAGGTACCACTTACAAGCAGGGTCCATAGTGAAACCCCCCTGGTGCTTAGCAGCACCTGAGCTGCCTGCAGCAATGTCTTGGCAGCAGTTGATGTTGCACACAAGGCACTGTTGATTAGTAGTGAAGTAATAGCCACAAAACAGCTGGATTACACAAATCTCGCTGGTTAACATCTGCAATAGCTTTAGCTACTATGAAGAACAGTAAATCTCCTTAACAAAACCTGAACAGGAATAATTTTCACACGCCTAAGACTTACCCAACTACTGTAAAAGCCAGCCAAAACCTACTTTTCTACAGATTTCCGTGCACGGCTGTGCTGCTTCCCAGGGCCCTGGAAGCTATGCAGGGCAGTCTACCCCTTCCCCACAGAACATCAGACTGCAGTACCAGCTATAAATTCTTTGTATGGTAAATGAACCAAATCGAGTTAATACGAAGTTAGAAAATATTCCTCTGTATATGCTAAATACCCTGCATATTCCACTTTCATAATGAATGCATTTTAAAAACTCATATAGGTGTAACTCCTATATTACTAATACATTTATACCATTTTTTCAGCTCTGATATGATCAAAGTTATATTTGGACAGGTTTAGAATAATAATGATTTGTTTGTAGTAATCTTGATTTCCAATTTACTTGTGGTTTTGCATTCAGCTGATAGTACTTAACCCTCACACCACTGAAACTCCCTCAGTAATCAAGACTCCAGTCCATACCTGGAAATATTTCCTGTGCAACAATGGTAGTGGACACCAGTATCAGGAATGACTCATTTGGGTCAACTTCAGTGGAAAGAACTGTCACCTACAGAACTGCTGAGGCAGCAGAGAGGACTTTGGTGTCTTTTCCACCCTCCCTCTGTGAAAGCTGACGAGGTTTGGTACTAAAGGCATTAGGTGAGACAAAGGGATTTGTTTTCTGACGCTTTGCCCGGACTCGAAGATTTCCTTGAATGAGTGGAGCAAAACCCATTCTGACTGTTCAATCCTCGTTGCGGTGCCATGCTCTCCTTTAGCACTGATCATCAGTGAGCTTTGTATTAAAAAGACCAAATAGGAAACACTGCTACTTCTGGTAGGTTTATTAACATTACACTGTGGCTTTTAATATAAACTTTAAGAAGTTCTAATACAAGCAATAAACCCACTTCAGCACCTTCTTACCACAATAAGAGCAAGAGAAAATTGGTACTTTAAACAAAGAACTTTATAAAGTGCATATGAAAATTGCAGTCAAATAAACACAATTTAAATTGATGCTTGTTCTAACAATAAAGAAAGAGGTGAACCTTCTAATGAACAAATTAACTTCTATGCCAAAATCGGAAGTGCGTTTCAGTTCAGTAGTTTGGTCCAGTGCAGTTCTTTTTCTTAAAAAAAAAAGAAAAAGAAAAAAGGAACAAAACCAAAAAAGCAACAAAAAACCCAAACCAAAGAATATATATATAAAAAAAAGTTTCCCACAAACAAGTCCAGCATTCTTTGTCCACCTTAAAAGTAATAGGACCTAAAAAGCACCAAATTCATAAAATCTGCAATAACATTCTTCAAATAGGCCCACAAATTCATACATTTAAATCCAGTTAAATGCAAAAAAAATCCCCTAACCCCAAACCCACCTTGTTACATATTCACATCAACTGCAGCACGAAAAATAATTATTGAAATAATAAGAGAAGAAAACAAAAGTCTGCTTTCTAGCAATAACTAGTGCATTGACTTTTGAATATTCTGTTTTTCAGTGCAAACATAGCCTTATGTCTCCCTCCTGTCTCCAGCTCAGAAGTGTGACGGCTGCCCATACTGGTTCACTCCTGGCTGCGGCTGGTTACCTGGTGGATAAAGCAAAGGGAAGTGATGTTGCCTCACAGCTGCATTCCACAGGAGTACAGAAAACATGGGTGTTTCATGCAGCAGCATCTGACTTAACAGTCACTGCACTCCCCTACACACCTAACACACACCAGAGGTGCTCAGTTCCCTGGGGACTTTGCCTGTGGTAGGACTGTAGAAATAAGAGGAGAAAACGTGGCAAATTGTGATGAGGTCACCAGCACCTGTCCTGCAGGTGACCGGAGCTCCTCTGGAGACCAACCTGTGGGATGCACTAGCACCAGAATTTTGGTATTGCATCATTGGTGGGATGGGTAACCAGCTGTCAGCAAGTAAATTTCTTACACATATATATGGCAGCATTTAAATAAGCAGAACATCTCCAGAAAGATAATTCCACATTCAAATATATGTATGTATCTATATACATCTACATAAACGTGCATCTCACGTACTGGAGAGCTGCTTCTGAAGCTGCCTGACCAGCGCTGCTGTCTGTTGTTGCTGCTGTGTCTGCTGTAAGCCTTGCCTTGGAAACTGCAAAAGAAACATGAAAGAAGAAATAAATAGGCATGGTGTTAAGTGCTGTGTCAGGTAACTGCAGAGGAATTCAGATTGTGCAACCCATCGGCTGCTGAGAGAGCCCTCCCTGGATGTGGGGCAGCAGACAGCAGATGTTTCTCCACAGTGGACCCTGACTGGCTTCTAACAGCACAGCAAGGACACATGGAGCACACTTGGAGCTTCCAGAGCATTTGTTCTCTTCATTCCCTTAGAGACTGAGATGTGTGAGATTTCACACATTTCCAGTTGCGTTACAGGTGTCACATGTGTCCAGCTGGGCACAGCGGACAAAGTCAGTCTCTGTCTCTTCCACCTCTGAAGAGGCTAACATTCACCTTGCCAGTCACTCTAAGCAGCTTTACTTTCTGCATTGTGCAAAGGCAAGCCAAATCAAAACTGCAAATCAAAATTAACAGTCTTTTTAGCATTTTTAAACACTTATGTGTAGCTAAAATGAGCTAAAATGTAGCAGTCAAAAAGAGGCTTCTAGAAAAACATTTTCCCAGGGCAGTGGCACCTCAGATATGAGGAAGGGTAAGCACAATGCTGAGGTTGTTCACTGTGCTGTCCAGCTGCTGCAGGGTTGTAGCTGCACCCTCCATTCCTGGCTCCAGTGGAACAAGACACAGATCAGCACCCACCCAGCCAAGACAACCTCGCCACTGGGGAAAATTATCACTGTTCTGATCCTTACCCAAAGCCCACAGGGACCAAGACAAGGCCCTTCTAGCCCACAGCATTAAGCACAATGGGATTAGATACAAAAAGCTTCCAAAGAAATCTGCTGTTAATAAATTAAATCATTACTTCAATCCTTTTGAAAGAATGCATTGACTTTCACAAATCTGCACACTATCTATGTTTGCATCAAAGCAGAACTTAGTCTCCAACTGCTCCACCTGACAGCATGCACTATTCCCCAGCTACCTGACCCCTGAGGTCTATTGTTCAAGTAAGGACGGGGTGGAGAACAAGCACCGCTTTGCTTTCCACGCTTCCAGCTGTCATTCTGGAAAAAAAAAATCATTCTCTGTTAACAACATCTATTGATCATCAACCTGTATGTCAGAGCACTGAATATATGGCACACCGCACTACTGAGGTACGACAGACCAACCTAAAACAGACCATCTGTGTGCGCCATCGGGATGGACACCTCTGGGGTCAGAGGTCTGTGTATACAAGCAGCGCTTCTTCCCTTGGAAAATGTCACCCATGTGAAAGAAGAATGTCTGTGCACCAGGTACATCAGACTCCACAGGGCAGAGCACTGAGGGCACAGCTCCCCAGTGCTTACCTGCTCCTGGGAGGGATATCACGATCACTGGAGGCACTGCTGTATTGGCAAGCACAGACCAGACCGAGCCTCCACCACGTACTGTCTTACCAGTCCATAGGGCCTCTCAGCTCTGTAGGTTTGTCTTCCAAGTCCCAGAATTTTCCTTCTCATTAGACTTGGTGAAAATGCTTCTAATGAAGTAACTTTTTATGCTTCTGCA